ATAGAGAGGCCCTAAGCACTAAATAACATTCATTTGTAGACAATAGCAACAGATAGATAATAGAGTGAGTAGGAAAAACAAAAATAGCTGCTAGAGGTGCAGTAAACAATACACTTCAGTGGCGTGCCCAAATACGTACAGAGGGTATCGAATATAAATTAAATAAAACTTGGGTACTATTCTTTAAACAAGTTGATATATTTATTTCAATTGAATGAACAAAATATTTTGCATTATTATGATTAATTTTCAATTTATTAATTTGTACATGATACCATTTTATGTATTAGGCACATCTGAGTTGAAAATCATAGGTATTAATCATTTAATAAAAAAATTATTAGTATACGTATACCTACACATTGGACTAGGTTTGACAGTACACAATATTGATTTTTAGAAAGTAGTTTCCTTTAAAAATTACAGATATTTCAAACATTTTATTTAATACCTATTTACATTACTAAAATTATTTACATTAACTAAAATATATAATTTTTCTGCAATTTTTTAAACTTATACTTGAAATATTATATAATAGTGCTTATTTATTATATTTATAAAAGATAAAAAAATATACTACTCTAGTAATATTCTTATTGGTTTAATTGGTTGTGAAATTAGTCAACTTTTTCCCTTTACATTAAAGAAATGTAAGTAACTCCAAAAATATTTCTCTGCATGTTTACAAACTTCGATAACAAAGTGAGAAGCTTTAGTTAAGCATCCATATGTTTTTCTTATTTACAATTTTGAAATTATCTCATCACTTTCAATAATCTCCAAGCAGGAACTGCAGTTTACAATTTTTTTTAACTGTCTAGCTACAAAACCGGCAGCATATGCTATTACATCTTGGCAATACAATGTTAAGTTCCATGTACTCGCTTTTGTGCAATACAAATTATTGTTGTGTAACTCATGCATCGTAGTATTAATCTCAACTTTTGGTAAGACACTTGAACAATGTAAAATAGCTGTGCTATCAAGAGCTACATTAGCTTTTTCGTTTTCTGAAATCTCAGAATATCTCAAATTTTTCCAAACACGTCCTAGTGCATCACACCATATTTTCAATTTTTCTACATTCGATGGAAACCTACAAAAACATCACATATTAATATCACATTTGTTTTAGTGGAATTTCGCTATTCTACACCAATGGTCAGAAAACATTTTAAAACACTTACCTATGATAGGTTAGGTTGACGTCTCCATACGATTTGAAAAACGAACACGTTTCTCTACTTTTAACATTGTCTCTTACACTAGAATTGTCTATAATAAAGTAAAATAACAGGCCAACGCACAGAATCTCAAAATATCGCTTATAAACACGAAATAAATATGCACCTCTGCAGCTCTATGTAAATATACAACTAACCAACATTGTTGCCAGCCCGTAAAAAAAGAACTTATTCTGCCGATTTCTTAGAGCATATAAATTCAAAATAACGATGACAATAATATAATAATTGCATCTCAATTAAAATGTAAAATGTCTATGGTAAATAACATTAAGATTATCACCATTTAATTACTAAAACTCTTTCGCTTAACATTTGATTAGGAATGACTATTATGAAATATGTCAACCGCGCTAATATTACAGTTTGTAAACAAAAACGTTCCGGTTGCGTCAACAAATCCTTAATGTGTCCTCTATGTTTACTTATTCTTCTGAGAAACGAAACCTAGGTAAATTTAAATAGATTTTTTTTTCAATAAAAAAATGCTAAATTATACAGGAAGGATAAAAAATGAAACAATTCATAGGATTGAAAAGATAAAGAATATCGAACAAATTGATATAAACATTTTGATCTTGACATAAATAACCATTTATAGCATCAAGTAGGTATTTGCAAATATAATGGACGAATTAGGGTCAACAATATTAAATTAATAAGGACGCACATGCAAATACAATTATTTATAAATATTTTATTGTTTATAGTGCTAAAATTAGGGACAGAATGATAAACAATTGTACACAACTTTATTTAAATCATTTTAATTCAATATGAGTTAGCTATTTTGATTTCATTCATTCATTGAATATGCAAACATATCAACGTAAATATATGCTGGCATTATTTATGATACGACAACTTTCACACCAATAATTCCTATAGTTAGAAATAATAAACACGTAGATAATTACATTTAATAGATAATTTTCGAAAATTCAAATAGGTACCTAGGTACCTATATACTCTAGGTTCAACTTACATTTATCAGAAAAAGCAATACCTATTCAGGGTATTCCTTAATTCCACTTTGTATTGGAATATTCGATACTCGATATGTCTAAAGGATGTTCTTGGCCTAAATTAACCTTACGGGTCAATTTCGATTCCTTGCGAAAATACAACAGCTTGAAGATGACTTATTCACAAATATACATATTGTATTTATTTGTTTCTGCTGCATGTAGCACGGAATATATGATAATTGAACCCATTATTGCTCTTGAATTGAAATTTTAAACGGTTTTGGAGTAAAGTTGAAAATTGTATTACCACGTAATCATAATCAAGCAAAACACACCAAACAAAGCGGTATGTCTTCAAATTTAAACAATGTTTCTAATACACCAGAGATAACTATTTATGACCTCTGGGTTTTAGGTATTAACTAATTAATGAACTACACTAAATACCTAGCCATCCTTAGTGTTTAACATGTATTTGTATGTGAAGATGAACATCACCAATTTTCTTTGATACGTTATTAAGAATTGTTATATAATATTTTACACTTTTACTCAAAAATCGTGAAGAACTTACTTTTAGTGATTATAAATATGAGTCATCGATCACTCATCAGTAGCCAAAAACTTGTACGAAATTTGATATTAATACTTCAACTGGTAGTTAGTAGGAAGTCGGAAGAATAGGAAGTCGAAACTGACTCTAGTGTATTTGAATTTTTGTGTTAATTCTAACCAAGAAACTAGGAGTTTAGCAGTTATATTGAGGAGCAGACTGTATAATAATAATTATTATATATCGCGATCCAAGTATATATATTTTAAAAAATACATCTACCTTTTTCAGAATGATAATCTAAAATATATTTACTTTACCAAAATCTGAGGATGCGTTTTATCTTTGTATAAGAAGTATTTATGTTTTTGTCAATATAAATAGAACTATTCCGATAAGGAATATTCCGATAAAGGATCGTAGTAGGTATAATAATTCCCTAAAAAAAGTATTTATGCCTCTTTGTAATGGAAAGAAGAAAGGGCTCATCTTACTTAGTTATTCTTTGTGCTCTAAGCTATCAGATTTCAAATTTAATATGAGCTCAAGCAATACAGAAACAGGAATGTGTACCTATTTCTCTTAAATGTAAATAATTAGGATATAAAACTTTTCGATATTATGCGACATTTTAGAAATATTCTTTCTTCCATCATTTTATGGAATTAATTGGTGCAAAATAGATTGCTTTTCCGAGTAAGATCAATAAATGAAATTCCACAAAAAGGTTTATTTTGTAATTAACGTAATAGCTGACCTTAACTAATTCATATAGTTTTTTCAAAATGGTTTCTATGGTATTAACTAGTTTTTATAGTAATTATTGTTTTATTTGTACTTATACACTGAAATATGTAGGTATAAGTATCTTTCGTGTTTGATTTAGAAGTGATTATAAATATATTGAAAATTAATTATGTCTTTTCTATGTTAAAATAATTAGTGTATTATCTGCACATGTAAGCTAATTCAAATTCAAACAGTCCGTATGCAATGAAGTAACAAAGAATACATGATGGTTCAGATTTTAATCGGGAAACTTGAACAGAGGTGACAGAATGGATCATTTTAAGGTGACCATATCCCTCGCCGTGAAATAGTCAAATTTCTGGCGTTTTTAGGTACCTACTGAAATCTTGAAAAATAAAACGTGTAGAACAAAAGTATATCATACAAACTCTACATTGCTCTATGACAAACTTTGACAGATGGTAGCTAGGTTACTTTACTTTCAAACATTTTTTCTTATATGAACGTAGGTCCGATTCGTTTTTGTTTAGAAGTTACAAGCATTTTAAAAAATATAATTTCATATTTCAAAGTAGCCTGATACGCTAAATAAAAATGATGATTGCTAGTCCAATGGGAAAACCAGATAAGCAGCCCGAGAATACCTATAAAGATACCCAAATAGACATCAACCTGCCCACACAGTCTTTAGTGCTTCATTCCGAGACTTCGAGAAGATAACCCCGCTCCAAAAAAGGCCATTTGTCCTACTGAAGTTAATATACAAAATGAATAAAATATTTTCATTAACAACTCTTCAACTAACGTTCGGCGTATAGCAAGTAATCTTCATTTATCACCGAATTTTGTATGGTGTATAATGAACGGAGAAATGTTCCGTTTGATCGCCAAAATGTGAAGATGCTCGTCAGCGATTAGAATTTTGTGGCTGGTTACTTCAACAACATGCACAAAATGAATATTCATTTCGCTTATTATGGGGTCTGATGAAGCATGTTTTACTAGGAATGGCATAAATAATAATCATAATGAACATATCTGGGCGTTACAAAATTCGCATGCAATTAGATCAAGACGATTTCAGCAACGTTTCAGTGTCAATGTTTGGAGTAGCATTTTCAACAGTAATTTACTACCTGTACATGTTTTAAATGATCGTTAAAATGGAGTTCTGTATAGAACTTTCTTATAAAGCAACCTTTTCGATTTCATCCTGTTATTGGGGGGTATAAGGGGAATTTTGTTTATCTAGTACCAAGCTATAAAAATCATGCCTTCTTTTATTTTTCCAGTTGGTTCGAAAACTGCGCTTAATGACCCTTCTCCTTTGTGTGAAGGTAAAAATTTGTTAAATTGGCTTACAAATAAGTTTACCCAGCAATGGAAATACGGAAGACAGTACCATCATCCAAGGCCATAAATAATGTTTTATGTTGAAGTTTTCCGATTAAAACTTGATAATGGTAAAAAGCATGAACTTACTTCGGCTAATGCTGCTGTGGCATTTTTGGCATCATCCGGTGTATCTCCGCACGTAGGGGCGCTATTGGTCAAATTTAAAACATCGTGGCCTCCACCTTCCATGGCCTTCACCATAGTATGATTCACCATACTGACTATGGCTACATGAAGATTCACTTTGAGGCCATAGATTATGCCAAGGCCTATTGATCCTAATACTGCAAGGATGTACCTGGTGGATATTTTCCCTAAAAAGAAATAATTGTTTTATTATGTAATGCCATTGCTCTATGGTAATTGTTCTAAAATAGAGGGTGTAACAGCGACGTTGCGACAAACGTTCGTGTGGATTCTGCCATCAAAATAAATAAAAACAAAAACTAACCGGTGGTTTTTACAGATTAGATAGACCATTTCAAAATAAAATTTTTGTTTGTTTCGATTGTCTTTAGAAAATGCGCTGTTGGTGTTGTCCCCATAAACAATAAATTTTTTATATAACTATGCCAAATTTTAGAAAAGAGCAAAAAGGAACACCAAACAATTTGAAAAAAGGTTCATTCCCTGAGTTAACTTAGATAATACTATTCATAAGAAAATGGTAATATACAGGCTGTCTTACGGTAATGGCCCATTGGAATATTTCAGAATTTTGAAAATTTGGGCCCTGGGGTTTTTGGGGGTAGGTACTCTCTTTAAATAAAATCCGGTTATAGGTACCATAATCAAGTAATTTTGATATTGGAAGGTAGTGCGTCTTATGTGTGTTCCAAAAAACAAGTGAAAGCTTGCAGGACAAAGAAAGATATAAGGAATTTTCAATCAATTTGAAATCGAAGTAGTCTCTGAAATATTATAATGGAACCGTCACCGTCAGCCAGGGTTGCCAGATTGGGCTATCTCAGATGACTTTCGGCTACTTGAAAAAAAGCAAAAATAGCCAGTCGCCAATTTGGGCTATTTCGAGTTTTTACCAGTGTCGGCAATCTGTACAAATCGAATGTTAGAATAGTATATATTCTATTATAGTATAAATTCTATTTTTACTCAAGACTGTTAAGTCTATTTTTTGGAATAAAACATTTTATTCGACTTATTTTTTATATTTTATATACCCATTTCTGTATTGTAGAATCTTAGAATAAATTGGATATTTTTTATAAGTAACGTGTAGATAGTAGAAGAGTAATCTGTGCTAATAGTAAAGTTGTTGCTTGTTGTCAGTTGTACCAAAATAATCCAGTTTTATAATCATATATATATTTACCTTAGTTAAGTAATTATTCCAGAGATGAAGTATTTGAGAGCCCTAGTATCAAAGGCGGCAATCTCCACTATTTCCACTTTTTGTTAAAGCGCAAAAAACTACTACACTCTTATTACTGCTTAATTCAAAGGAAGCATAGTTTCCAATGAAAGAAAATGCTAAACTACATTAGATTTTAAGGTTAATGTACCTAAATTTTTTATATTTTCTGAAAAAATGTACAAAAATAAATGGAGAATACCGTGTTTGATACCAACAGTTGGATTTTGCAAGATTTGTTACCAAAGGTTGCACTAAAATGAGTTGTAAAATAAATACCAAGTATTTTGGAATGGACTTACAGACAAAAGAATAAAATATTAAAATTAATTCAACTGTCCACGAACGCGGTTGTTGCGTGAACCGTTGGGGGATTGGCGACGACGGTTGCTGGGTGAATCCCTAAGAATCCCCAGAACACGCTGGATGCGTGCAGAAAGCGTTTCTGCACGACCGAGGCTGCTTCTGCGGATGTCGGGTTCGGCTCGCGTTGTGGAACGATAGGTGTAGGGTTCCCC